GAATCAACAGTTAAGAATAATGTGGAATAAATGTATACAGGATACAAATGATGATTATCCAGGAGAAGAAAAGTATCTTTGTGAGGTAATCTTTTCGCTATCAATTAATCTTTAAGTATATTGCAAAATAAAATTCTTTTTTAATTAATAATTTCCGATATTGATTATTTTAGTTACATTTTGACGAAAATCAATGGAAGGATTTCAATCGAAAACATTTGATATCATCCGCAATTCCAATTATCTCTCTTCAATTTCGTCAAAAAGATTACATAAAAAATGTATGTCACGTTTTGCAATCTGCTTATCAAGACGAAAATTTACCATCAAAATTTTTACATATATTGGATCATGTTTCTTGCACTGAGAAAGAAACTGAAAAGGAAGCGCAGAAACTTTTAAAAGAATTGGGTGTACGATTGGTTGAATTTGGACTGCAAAAAGCTCGTGTTCAAAAGAAGGAAAAATTATTAAACCTTATTGCTGAGAAAAATAAAATGTATAAGGCAGAATTAAAAAAATTAGGTATGAATAATCAAAATATTTGATATTTTAAATTCATAATAGATTTTTTAAAGCTAAGTAGCAAATAAGTCTAATGTGCTTATATAGACTTGCTCAGACGAATGGACATTTATATTATACATGATCATGCAATTTATTACAAAAGAAAAAGAATCTTTTTATATATTTAATTTAATTTTTTGTCGTGTAACCTGAATGTACTTTAATCTACATTTATCTTTGGATTTTGTGAATAGAAAAATCATTGTAAAATAAAATTCAAATATTGAAATGTATATCGTATATCAGCATTCTAAATATTTAATGTATATGTATAAAAAATATGTATTGTTATTCTTTTTTGGAGAAGACAAAATAAATAGACTAATATAAATTTTTGTACTTATATCCAAGATTTTATTATCCAATATTTTATTATATACTTTATTTCATCACAGCGACTTACATTTATATTATTTTTTTTACCATGACCAAGAAAACTTGTTTTACTTTATCCAATTGTGCATAGCTTTACTTTTGCTACTGTATGAAGTGTTCCTTTTTTTTTGTTGTTCCCTTTTTATTTGTCCAAACTGTTTATATCTCATACTAAAATATCGTCGTAATAGTTTGGTTGTTATATTGTGACATTGGGGTACAATAGATGTTGCCCATATATATTGTAGGGATTGTACAAGTATATCATACACATTAACTTTTTCAGTTCTCAGGAGATCTTCTCTAACTATTCTAAATGTAAGTTCGGCTTTCCATATTGCTTTGAATGCTTCTTCAGATACTTGGGTTAAACAATCATCTTTGTAAGCATTTAATGTTGTGAGGAGTCCATATGGATGTGGCTCTTTCTCCTGCCATACCAATGCGTTGTAACATGTATCACATATTGTATATACGTTTTTTACACTATTCAATGTACTTCCTGCCATATCATATAATATTTGTCTCTCCCACATTGAAAAATAGGAAATATTTTCATCGGCTATAATAGGAATTTCTATACAAAGATTGAGTCCAGGATTGTTATATTTTGTATATTGTGAATTTGTCAAAAAATCGAGAGTCATTTCACCGTCGTCTGCATCATAGCTACTTTTTTCGATTGTGCAAAATTGTGCAATTGAAATACTTTTTAGAAGATTTTTAAACATCAAAGCGTTGGGTATTGCTTGACGGAATCTGATACAAGAAAAAAGATTTTCTAAGAAATCTTGTGTGAATCTTCCAGTCAATAAAAATTTTAATCTGCCTTCATCAAGAAAATATTCTTGTAAATCTAAAATAGCAGTCGTAGCAATTAAGACTCCACACTGCACTGGTTTCCATCGTAAATCTGTTCCAACAGTCATTCCAGAAAATGTTCTTATAGTTAGTTTTAAATGAGATATAGCCTCTTCATACGTTTCTTTATTGCTTTTATTTAATGCTAAAGTATAATATCTTGAAGTCATCAAATCAAACCAACGATTAACCAAACGTACAAACCAGGCAGTTGTGATGTAAGAGGAATCTTGTTTTACAAGTGCTAAAAGTTGAAGGGCAGACGATGAACGCTGGCAAAAGATGGATTTAGAAGTGGAAACTTTCATCTTATTAAAATGATTACTTTTATCTAAATTTTCTTTTTTCATTCTATAAGCAACTTTAAGTTCCAAATTTTTCTCAGTATTATAGACTTCAAGAAAATGTTCCAATTTAACTTCATTTGAAGGAAGATTTTCAGATTCTATAATATCCTGTGGCAAATAAAGGATTTTATTGTTTACAATCATTGATCTAATGGATTTAAATAGATGAGGAACATCTGGCATTATATACAATCGAGATGAAGATCTAACAGGATGAGGCATACTAGATATTACTTCAGATCGATTTGCCATGATGCCAAAAGCCTTCCACATGCTCCTATTGTCAGGACCCATATCACTCACAACACAATGAATACGTAGACCAATTCTTTCACCACGTTCTATGATATCTTTGATTATGTTTGCATATGCTTGTCCTGTAGCACCTTCGTTTGCATCTTTTACTTTAGAGCCAGTTAGGTGAAAACAAACAGCTTGTTTCCATCGAATAGTAATACCACCAAAAAGAAAAACCAAAACTTTGTTAGCGACACCGGAATGAGAAGCAAGTGTAGTTTTTCCGATAAATTCATTTATACTAGGATCAAACATTTCTCCTGGTTCAATAGACATTTCATCCAGTGCTAGTACACTATCTTTCCAATCATCTGTATTATGTTTAATTTCTTCCGCAAGTAAATCAAAAGTTTGTTGTAAAATTCCTGGTCTGAATTCAATATGTTTTATTTTTCTTTGTAAAGTCCGAATAGATGGTAAAGGAATGTGCTTTTGTACTTCTTTGTATCCTGATGATCCACATTTTAATCTTAAAATTAAAGCCTGTTTCACAGTATTTGGTTCCCATTGTAAACCTTGGTAATTTTTTCTGTACATTGCCTTCTTTTGATCTTTACTCAAGATTTGCAATTCGTTTTCATCTATTTTTTTTTTTATATTAGTAAAATTTTCTTTTTCTCGACGTAACTTTTTATTGCTCTTTCGTAGCGTCTCATTTCCTTGATGCAGCTTATCAGCAATTTTCTTAACTCTTGCCAATTCTTTTTTTAGTTGCTCATTTTTCTTTTTTAAAGACATAGTCATAATATCTATATTTTGCTCTTTGATAGTTTGAATAGTTACAGCATTGTCAACTTCTTCCATCAATTCCGAAAGACTATTCAAAGCATTACTTGGTGTAATAGTACATGTATTTGTAGGTACTTCATTTAAATTATTTAATATAATATCAGAGTTTCCATTACCAATAAGATCTGACTCAATTGCTGGTGTTTTTGATATGATCTTTTCTATCGTCTTTGATGAAGTACTTACAGACGTTTTCTTTATCTAAAAATATAAAAAATTGAATCAAAGACCAGGAATTTTTTTATTTACTAGAGTGATGATTATAAAAATTCAAAGATAATAAATGTAAAATATCAGAAAATAACTTACAGAACTATCAGCAAATATTAATAAAGTTTTATTATTGGAGACTGCTTTACTTGGATATGTGTGATCACAATCAGATAAATGTGATTTATTTCTTTCCATCTGTGTATATGTACATACAAAATGCATATATTTATTAAAATTAGCATATATCTTCAAAATTAGAAAGATACTGATGACAAATTTTAAAAATATAAAAAATAAAATGTTTATAATATTTTCTTTTGGTACGTGTGTAGACTTACCGGTAAAAATGTCCTTGTGTTAGTAATATCTTTCAATGTTTTTGAATAGCTGTGATCATTTGCAGATATCTGCGTAAGATTATTAAAAATAGAAGGCACTGCACCGAATTTAAGCTTTCTCTTCCCATCCTCTCTAATTTTTTCCCAAGAAGAAACGTCAAAATGCTCCTGGAAAAAATATTATAAAATCATGAAACAAAAGAAACATCTTATAAAAAATATTTTAGCTATATAAGTTATAACTCACAGAGCATACAACTGATGAATTCAGAGGCTGCCAAGAATATCCATTTATTTGTCTCACGTTAGTGATCCACATATTTCTTATTTCAGAATTTATTGGGAAATAACGAAAGCAAAGAAACGAATTTTCTTCATTTTGGTGTTTTCCTTTTTTGTATATATTTTTACAACCAAATACACAGCACTTTCTGCATAAAAAAATTCTTTAAAGAGTCATAAAGCTTTCAAGAAAACATTAGATTACGTTAGGTTAAGTCCGATACTAAATATTCACACAAATAAGAATACTTACACCATAATAATAGTTTTTTTATTGCACTTCGACTTTTATTGTACTGTATTATCTAAATTTTTCTCTGCATGTATGTATTTATACATTATAAACTATATCTATATA